GAAGACCTGATCTTTGCGCTATGACACATCATGCCTTCGCATTCGACGAGGAGCTTCAGCGACACTTCATCCGGGCATGCCAGTCTGATCCGGACTTCGCCACGCTATATGCACAGCTATCTTTGGATCACCCGCCGGCCAGTCATTACCGCATTGCCGACTGGTACTTACTCCTCCACTCGACAGGCAAGGATTTACTGTGTGTCCCACGCGACCGTCGTCTTCGGACTCGCCTCCTCGGCGAGTATCATGATTCGCGACTTGCCGGCCATTTCGGAGTCAACCGCACTATTGCACGTCTTCGACAGCAATTCCGATGGCCCGACCTCATTACCGATGTCACTTGGTATTGCGACTCTTGCGAAGTTTGCCGACGCAGCAAACCCCGCAACCCCAATCCCTATGGCGAGTTACACCCGATGCCTATTCCACGGAAACCCGGTCTCTCCATTGCTATGGACTTCACTGGTCCGTTTTCTCGCGACCGGCTCGGGCACGACGGCATCCCCACAGTTGTGGACCGATTGAGTAAGTACGCGCGTTTTCTCCCTTGCAAGAACTACTCTACGGCTCCCGAGCTGGCACGCCTCCTGCACACTGGTTGGATTTGTGGCCACGGTGTACCAGAAGACATAGTCAGCAACCGCGACACTCGTTTCATGTCAGCATTTTGGACTGCGCTCATGCATGAGTCCGGCACGACGATGAAACCAAGTTCGGCTCGGCATCCACAGACAGACAGGCAGACGGAGCAGGCACATCAAACTGCTCAAATGATGCTTCGTACGCTCATCCGTCCGGACCAGAAAGATTGGGTTGACCGCCTCCCCGACATCGAGTTCGCCTACAACACTTCGGTGCACCCGGCGATTGGCGTGACTCCATTCAAGTTGCACCACGGTGGACGGAAAGGCCGTATCTTCGCCGACCTTCTCCTCCCTCGACCARCCGACATTGACGTCGCTTGCTCCCCCGCTTTCGTTCAGAAGTACAGGGAATTGCTGAGTCAAGCCCGCGCAAACATGCAAAAAGCTCAAGTCCGTATGCAGCAGCAAGCCAACAGGCGTCGCGTACCATGTCCCATCCGCGCCGGTGATCTGGTTTGGGTCTCCGCGGAAGAGTTTGCACTGGAACAGGATGTTTCACGTAAACTGCTTTCCAAGTGGTTTGGACCATGGTCTGTGACAGCAGCCGCGGGTGATGAGCCCGATGGCCCTTCATTTGTGATCAACATTCCAGAGCATCTGACGGTCCATCCAGTCTTCCACGCCTCGAAGCAGGCAACATACACGCCAGCCAAGAGCGACGACTTTCCGGGCCGACGATCGTAGGACCCTCCTCCTATGGATGGTCATCAGGAAGTTGACCGCGTCATCACCGATCGCAAGTACGGCAGCAAGCCGCGGCAGTACAAAGTCACATTCAAAGCATGCGATCCCGACGACACTCGGTGGATTTCAGGCGCAGATTTGAAAGCATCTGCACCKYTGATCTACGCGCATTATGAAAAGCGGAGGTTAGCTCAGGAAGCTTCACGACCACCCCCTCCCACCCGGACTGTGGTCCCTCCCTCAGACAGACAGCTTCGCCCTCGCAGGTAAGCTCGGTCTTTCAAGGAGGGGGGGGTGTGGCATACTGCGTAGCCACACGGGCCCTGCAGGGCCCGTCCCGGACATTCAGCCTAAAAGCCTAAAACTTAGGGCTTACAGGCCCCGGTCGTTTCAGCCTGAAAGCTGAAAAACGAGG